ATTGGTTTAGTAAAATTAATAGACTGTGTAGTTTGTTTATTTATACCTAATAAAGTGAAGGCATGACTGCCAAAAGTATAAAAAAAAATAAAAAATAACTAAAGAATAAACGACTCTAAATAATACATAAACTGGATAAAATCGGCTTTTGGAATAATCGTCATCATCTTTGATCAAGTTTCATTTACATATTTTACATGTTCAAAACTAAGAGCATTCAAACAAGATCGAATTTTTATAAATTTTTTATATGCTAATATTACTGTATCACTTTTAATTAATTTATATATAGTCTATCTAATAATGTATTAGAATTTAGATACCTTAGCTGGTTCTAAGTTAACAATTTTTCTGGGTACAATTCATAATTCTGTATTATTTGGAATAAGCTGATTATGACTTTGTCCATCGTGTAATTGTTTAAATGCGATTCTTATAGTTTTTCAAGTAGCATATAGGCTACCAATCATTGAGTCTCTACACTGATATTATCTGGGGCCAACAACTGAAAGTCGTTAAACCAGTTACTTACATATTTGTAATTGTTTAATCTACTTTCTAAGTTTGTTGACCATGTTGTAAGCCAGTGTGTATTTTTTTTTAATAGAATAGAATCTAATACTATTTGACAAATATTTTATGACAAAGTTACTAAAAAATCTTCCATACCATTCTTGTATAATAAGAATTCAATTAACTGTGTTTTTTAAGCTACAAGTAATTAATAGTTCTATTTTCTATTTGAATGTTTTTATCACTTAAAGATAGTAGTAGCTATATTCATCCCATTACCAAATCATCATTAAAAAGTTCTTGGAATATTTGATGGCTAAAAGTAGGAAACATTTCAACTTTATTTTTATAGTAATTGTATGGAGTTAAATTTTGTTTATCAGACTATGAAATTGTTCAGTATTTTCTATAAAAAAAATTAATTAATTAAGTTTATTAATAAACTTTCATAAATAAAAATTACCTTTGTTTCAAATCAGCAAGCATGCCTGAACTATTAGCTAAGCCATAATTCAAACTTTGTATTTTGGATGTTGTTTGCATTGTAAGTATTAATTTGTTTATTGCATGCCCATAGAATTGAACTGTTTGTGCAGAAGAATTACCGCTCATTTCTCTAATTGTTTCAAATAAACCCTCAAGCATATTCTGAGAAACTCTTCTCGGTTAAATCATAACACCTGGCCAATTGGAGAGTATATATTCTACAAGCCCAAAAAATCTATTAATTGATAAAATCAAGTCAAACTAATATTGTGTGAAGAACCATTGACTTGAATATTTTTTTTGTTTATCATCTCAAATAAACCATTATTTTATTTCTTTCAAAGAATTTAAGCGTGAATCTTCTAGAGAAGAAATACATATTCAGCTATGTGTAATATCTCAATACATATGTGTATAACAAATAAATAACTAATGATATATAATGTAAATATATATTAGATTTTGAGTAATAATAAATAAATATTATTACAGTATTTTCATATTATTTTAAGTATATGTGTGTTAATTAAAGTATACACATTATATATAAGTAGCCATACTAAGAAAAAGCCGGTACTTATATCACAGATATTATATATATATATGTACATTATTTAGAGACACGCATGGGCAGTGTTGTCACTCGGACAAACTTGAACTTGGACAACCAAGTTTGTCCACCAGACAAATCTATAAAACAACCAATCAAATTATGTATAACATTAATAGATAGTATCTTGGTATAGCACTTCTGAAATCTGTGCCAGGTTATACTGATTACTAAATCGAAAAGTATTAAGTACAGATTTTAATTTACATTATATTTAATATTTATGTATACTTATATAAGTAAAATTTCGTGCTGAAAACTTTTGTTTAGAAGTCAAACTATAGTTATCATAGTAAAATCTTGAGTTATTTATGATTTTTTTGTTTTCTCAATGAGAAAACAGAAAAATCGTAAATAACTCAAGATTTTACTATAATAACCATAGTTTGACTTCTAAACAAAAGTTTTTAGCAAAGGTGTGGCGCCTTAGTAAAGTGGTCTAGTCGTCACCCTCTCCAAATGGTAATGGTATATTCCTCAAGGTTCAAAAATAGCAAAAACGGAATATGTCAGACGACGATCTCTATTTAGGTTGGCCTATGGATGATTTAGTGATCTGGTGCCTGGAGCACCGGTGAAAGGGATTCCGGGGGGCTGTAATCTGTGGGCTGTGCATTGCACGGGTCATAGGACCGGAGATCGAAGCCCGTTTGGGAAGTCCTGAGTTTGGAGGTAGCAGTAATCTTCGACGGTACTACATGAAGGCTGAATTTGAACCGGGCCCGAGATTGGAGAACTGAGCGATCAGGTCCTTTAGTGGGGG